TTTCTCTCTTCCACCTCCTCCTCCAACCCTTCACTCAAGCACAATTTCCTTTGAAGCTGAAACTTTTTATAGACTGAAGCCAGAAAGGGGGTTATCCCAGAGCAGCTTCAGTTCTCAACTCTCTCCAGGGATCAGGGGCTCAAGAGGTAGACTTACCTGCTTGGAATATGCTAGGTGCTTTGGGTGTATCCACTGCCCTGACAGGCTATGCTGGATATTCTCCATTTAGCCCTCCAGATCCACTCTCCGCCCTCCTCCACCCTCCAGTGCCCTGGGGAGGCTGGATTGCCTTCCAACTGCCAGTGGGTTTTGTCAGTAGGAGACTGAGAAGATGAGAGAAGAAGTTGGGTATTTATTTCTCTAGCTTTGGCCCTGCTTGGCTTATTTGTTGGGCAGCCCTTTCTTGCTGCTACAGCCTTATTATGGGTTGAATAGTGTCCCCCCCCCCACACACCTGCAAACAAATAAAGGTAAAAAGGTAAGTTGGAGTCCTTAGTATACCTCAGAATGTCCTTAGTTGGAGACAGAATCTTTTTTTTTTTTTTTTTTCAGTTCCAGGGATTGAATTCAGAGGCATTTAACCACTGAGCCACATTCCTAGCATATATATATATATATTAGAGATAGGGTCTCCATGAGTTGCTTAGGCCCTTGCTAAGTTGCTGAGGCTGGCTTTGAACTCGAGATCCTCCTGCCTCAGCCTCCTGGAGACAGAATCTTTACAGAGGTAATAGAGTTAAAGTGAGGTTATTAAGATGAACAACATTCCAGGATGACCAGTGTTCTTCTAAGAAGGAATGCAGACACAAGGAGAGATATGCACACAAGTAAGACAATGTGCAGAGACACAAGAAGATGATGGCCATCTACCAGGCAAAAAAAAAAAAACAACTGAGAAGGTTCTCTTTCACAACTCTCCAAAGGAGACAATCCTGTCAACGCCTTGATCTCAGACTGCTAGCCTCCACAGTGTGAGACAATACATTTCTATTGCTGTAGCCACCCAGTTGGTGGTACTTTGGTGTGGCAGCCCTAGCAAAGGAATACAAGCTCTCACTAAGTTCTGATAAAGTCTCCTTCCCCTGTCCCTTCAGGTCTAGGAGTGGTAAAAACTCCCACTGTTGCTTGTCCCTGGGTGCCTCTGCAACCCTTGTTGGTTTACCTTAACCCTATCCACACCTCCATACCTTCATTAAATATGGGATTGCCATGTTTCCTGATACTCAGACCTAGAATATGTTATATTTTCCCAACATACTTCATAAAACTATCACAAAGGCAAGACAAAGTTCCACTGGGGTTTCCCAATTATGTAGACAGCTACTGGGAATCTTATTCAAAATAAAGCATCCGATATGTTTTCAGTTTCTCCTGTTGTTTATTTCATCTGCCGGATGGAGGAGAAGCCAAAAGGGGAGGTACTACTTTGGATTTAATTCAGATAAAATTTTTGGACAGTATAACAGTTTGTGATAATCCAAAGCAAGGAATGTTGGATGGGAGGATCCACATCCAATTTTAAACAGTGGGATTTCAAAAATGTCAATGAAACATTAGGGAAAGTTCATAAGCACAGTCTTAAAGATTAAATTAGCTCAAGAGGAATAAGATCTCAGAAAATTAAATTCTGACACTGCCCATGAGCTGCCCAAAATATGATTTATGTTCTTTGATTAATTATACTTTTAAAGGAAGTGTGTGTGTGTGTGTGTGTGTGTGTGTGTTGGGGAGCCATGTGCATAAAACAAGAGAATGAACACCGAAGAAAAGCTACAACTTTTAAGAATGATTTCTGAACCGGTCCTGGTGGCATACAACTGCAATCTCAGTGACTCAGGAGGCTGAGGCAGGAGGATCATAAGTTCAGGGCCAGCCTGGGTTACTTAGTGAGACCATTTCAAAATGAAAACTAAAAGACTTGGGATGTAGCTCAGTGGTAGAACACCCTTGGGTTCAAACCCCAGGACTACACACACACACACACACACACACACACACACATACACACACACTAATTTTTGCAAGGGTAAAATACATAAAAATGTAATTTTAAAGCAAGAAATACGGGGGAAAAAGATGGTTTAGAATCAGGGAGAAAACCTAATATTTCTAGAGATCTTAAAAGAAGTGTGGGTAACTGAAGCACAGTGAGAACATTGGAAAAAAGAGAAATGGTCGATTCAGAGAACTTAGTCCGAAGAACATTGACTCTGGAAAAATTCTCAAATTAGTAATTAAACAGATGGTTAATAAGTTCTTGGGGGAAAAAAGCAAAAATCAATGAGAAGAGGTCTGACTAAATGGTGGTGAGGCGAACACATCCCTTTTTGACAGCTCTGCAATAACCATTTGGATTTTAGCCCAGCTCTTGTATTGTCCCAGTATTTTCTCTCTCTCCTGATGTTTCTTATAAACTGGAGATTATTTATTCTTTTATTAGACAAATATTTGAGCATCTACTAAGCACTCTGTTGGGAAAAGTATAAACGGCAGCCATACCCCAGAGAAAAACCCCAACATGGCGCCTAAGGACTTCTTCTTCCTACCTTCTTCTTTTCTGCAGTGGCGCGAAAAGTTCCCGCCCGTGTGAACTCTCCCGCCAGCTCCAATTTCAAATCTCGCTGTCGGGGAACCTTAGCCCCAGTGAGAACTAATTCCTGGGCTCCGGAGCTGATATCTGAAAGAACTTGCCAATAAACGGGTTGCCTGCCATTTATCTAAGCCCTACCATCTCCCCCTTAGTTCTATATAAGCACACAGCTTTTTGCAATAAAATTGGAATTCTCCCGGCGAAGTGTCTTTGCGTGGGGAATTCTTTCACACTCAACACTGTGTAGGTACTGAGGATAGCTACATCAAGGAAAATGTACCCAGGCTCCCAAACCTTCCAAGTTTGCTTTCTGGTGGACAGTTCTTTTCTAATTCTGGAATTTTCCCTAACCACCAGCCCTTCTCTATCTTCATTAAACCATCTAGGGTGTTCCTGAACTAGAAAAATCCTCAGACTCCAGGGTTTTCTTTTCTGCCCCAGCTCTCCTTCTGTTCTCAAATTTAACTTAGAAAAGAGACTGGACTACAGTCTTCCTTGGCCAAAAGAGACTGTCCTGTTTCACAATATGCCTAGAAATATTATCATTCAGGTTTCATGCAACAGATATTAATTATCTAAATTTCAAATTTGGCAAACCTACCTTTCCAGTCTCACCTATTTCATCCCTTCAATCATTACAGGTCCCAGCCCCCACCCACGTTTCCATGTCTTTACCTTTTTGCTCAATTGATTTTGTCATTCGGGAATGCCTGACATCTCCTTCCCCAACTATGGAAATCATACACATTGCCCAAGACTCAGCTCAAAAATTGCCACCTCCCTTACTGGACTTAAGTTATTTACCATCCTTGACTTGTACTTCTCACTCCTATCATCCTTTCCTAGTCAATTGATTACTTGTTTGTCTTCTCTGCTGAGGTCCCACTTCTTACAAAGCAAGAGCTTCCACCTTGTCCAGTTGTAGTACAATCATGTGACACATCATAAGATTTCAGTTAACACCAGACTGCATAATAAGGGTATTCCCGTAGATTATACCACCTACTGATTTTGTAGCCCCCTTAGTTTGTGTGAGAACTCTCTGATTTTCCCAGGACAAAATTGTCTCTTGGTGCATTTCTCAGAACACATCTCTGTCTTTAAACATGCACTTTACAGCAGGGGTTGGCAAACCAAGGCCTGAACTAAGAATGGTTGAAATGCTTGACAAAAGATCAAAAGGCAAGTATTTCATAATGTGCGAAAAGTTCATGAAATTCACTCTCAGTTCCCATAAAGAATCTCTGTAGGAACCCAGATACCCCATATTTTCTATGACTGCTTTTAAGTTCCAGTGGCAGAGCTGATGAGTGGAGAAAGATTAGGATCCAGAAAGCCTCAATGTTGACTATAATCCTTTTCAGAAACACTTTGCAGATACTGCTTTACAGTGAGGGTTTGATGATGGAATCATTGGGTAGGGACATCAAGATTCTGCATAGATATTCTAAGTTTTATTTTATTTTTTTTAAAGAGAGGGAGATTTTTTTTTAATGTTTATTTTTCAGCTCTCGGCGGACACAACATCTCTGTTTGTATGTGATGCTGAGGATGGAACCCGGGCCGCACCCATGCCAGACGAGCGCGCTACCGCTTGAGCCACATCCCCAGCCCCCAAGTTTTAATTTTTTCTGTAATGTAGGTTCTAACCATCTTGCCTTTGTTATCTTAAATATAAAAAGAGATAATGCGTTTAGAAAAGTATAAAAACATCCTATAAATAAAACTTTATCATGTACTGAGAAAGACGATAATGCGGTAAAATGAGAAAAAAAGCGTTTTTATCCTCCCTTCCCTTCATCTTTTACAACTTTCACTTAAACTTGTAATTTAAAAAATTCACTTTTAAATATTTTTTAAATGATAAGGTAACAGGTTCCAGTGCTCAGGTTGCTCCCACTTCCTTTTCTTTCTTCCATGTAATTTCTTTTTTCCATTTCCTTGAGTAGTGTCTTAACTGGCGCTCACAATAGCTCAGGGAAGGAACTGCCTGATTAATCCATTTCACAGGCTAGAAAACTGAGGAAGATCTCGGTTGATTGCTCTGACTCAACAAGCAGGCAGCCCTAAAGGACGCGTTCTGCGTCTTTTTCTAAGGGTTAAGTCTCGGTAAATAGAACAAGACTAACCAAGCCAGGTTTCCAAGCTTGGATCTCAAAACACCATTTAGCACTTGCCCTCCGGGTTCCTCCTTCTCCCCCACCCCCTCCGGGCCCCTCCCGCCCCTAGCAGCACCCTCATAGAGAGCAGGTGGTAGGCTCCGTGGCTAATGCGCAGGCGCGCGGCGCCGTGGGGCGGGGAGAGGCGGGGATTGGGGGCGGGGCGAACGCGGGCTCGGTTTTGGGCCGGGGCGGGAGCCCGATTCGCCGCCACTCCAGTGCGCAGGCGCCTGGCGGTTACCGGTCTCGCCATGGAGCGGAAAGGTGAGCGGTGGAGCGGCCTCCGCCACGAGGGGCAACGGCCGCCGGGGCGAGGCCCGGGTCAGCGCCGGGAGCCTCGCCCAACCGCCGCGGTCTGGTCCTCGGGCGTGAGGCGCCCTTCCTCTGAGGTGGCGCCGACCCCCACCCCCAGTCTCCGGGCTGCGGGTCCGCGCCCCTCAGCCCGGGCGTCCTCCGGCGCTGGTGGTCACCGCCCCTCGTTCCCCGCCAGGCCGTCTCGCGCCTTGGGGCCACTCCTGAGCCCGACCCTGGGCGGGCGAGGCCGAGTCCCGCCCGCCCGCTCCCAGATCCGGCCCGAGCCCCCTCGGGCGCATCCCGCCCGGGCGCTGCGGTGCGCCCCTTGGGCCGCCAGTCCCCGGGCCGGCCGCCTAGCCAAAGCCGCGGCGCTCGCCCCGCAGCCGCCCCTCAGACAGGCCCTGCAACCGTGCCTGGCGCCCCTGCTAGGTCTCCACCCTCACCTTGGTCGCCTCTTTTTCTCCACATTCGCCCTTCACCCATCCCTCTCTCCTGCAGTGCTTGCGCTCCAGGCCCGAAAGAAAAGGACCAAGGCCAAGAAGGACAAAGCCCAAAGGAAGTGAGTCTTGTACCCCAACGCCCCCGTTCTTTGGATTTCCTCGCTCACCTCCTCTGCTCTAGTTTCGTGTCTTGAACGTGCACCGGGTTTAAGCACTCCGCGGCCCCCAACCGCATGGCCTCAGGGCTGCTTGGCGGGTCGCTCTCCGGCAACCATGTGGAAGGGAGTTTCTGTTGCGGAACGCCAGGCCTGAGCCTTAGCTGCCCCAAGCATGCTGGAAGGGCTGCTGCAGGAGGACCAGAGTCCGCTCGGCACTTCCTCCCCAAATCCACAGAGGAGTCAGAAGCTCCCCAAGTTTGGGGCCCCCTCCTGGAGCTGGTAGATCATTATCAGTCTGTCGGTGAACTCTGTCTCTTTCCTTTACTTCTCAGCGTCTAACTTGCTTCGTACGTCCGCACGGTAGGCCATCAGGAAATTCTTGAATGGATTTTTCGTATTTACTTTTGGTTCTGCCAACCACACTCTCCCTTTCCTAAAGGAGGGCATGGAGCATGCCCCTGGTTAGTCAGCTTTCTGAGCCTGCAAGGCGCATCGCCTTTTTTATAGTTTGCGGGCGGATCACACAGTCGGTGTGTTACCTCTCTTCCTAAACCTGAGTCCTCGTGAAGTCCTTTTGGAGTTAATCACCTAACGTCGTTGGTGGTTCTGATTCGGGTGTATTTCAGTGCCACGGGTCCAGTTTCATTAGCAGGATGCGTAACAGTGGATTAGACCTATTGTGGGGAACACAAAAGTTGGTCACAGCCTGGTATACACGCTCCCGGTGGATGGCTTCCGCAAGTGAGGCTTAGTCTTTTAAGAACTTTTATCTTGTATTAATGTTTAATAGCAAAGGCTTTTGGAAGTCAGCTTAGACGATCCTATGCAGAGAAAAAGTTCTAGGTCTTAATTATAGATGTGTTATTTTCTGCACCATTTCCATTTGTTTGATTTTTTTTCTTTCTTTTTTTTGGATGCTAATGTTTGGGGGAGAGCGCATAATTACTTCTCTCTTTCAATAGAGCTAAAATAGTAGGTGACCTCACTTCTTGCTCCATTTGTATTATCTGTCTTATGAAATTTTTTCTTTTGTAAGTACTTGGTGACCAAGGCATATGTGAATTGTTTGTTTACCTTTTGACTATCTACATGAAATTCAAAACCAGTTTTTAATCCCAGATTGACTGATGGAAAAAGCAAGGAGCTAACCTACTTCTAGAATGTAGGAGAAATTTAAGTGTTACTTTTTTTCTGTTCCTTAGTTTTGTTATTCCATGTGAAACTGATAAGAATGTTATAAAATGTTAGTTTTTATTGGTGTAAGGAGGTGGAGATTATCATTCACTTTTATTTTTTTTTTTTTTTTAAAGAAATACTTGTCTCTCAGGCCTTCTCTCTTTAACACTCATGCTATTTAGAATTTAATCTTGATAATTGGTCTGAATTATACTGTATTTGGGAGGTGAGTGTATATTGTTGACCATATAACTTTATAAAAACATCAGATATTTGTTACTTTGGATTATCTGTATCAACCATGTGCCTAGTTTGTATGTTGTTACTCTTCACTGTTATGGGTAACCTAGAGTTATTTCTGTTCTTAATTATTTCCATACTGGGACTCTTTTGCAGATATGAATTATAGATAATCCAGTATTTATTTTACTGAATATTATGTTTTATACAACTTTGACTTCTGAAACTATAAGAATTGCCCCCATTTACTTATACTCTCAAAAATGCTTTATTTTTGTCTTCTATTAGTAAGTTTTTCTTTATAGTTTTACCTCTCTTTCCCTTCTTGTTTCTCCAGCCTTCTTTTAAGTAGCTGAAATTTCTAATTAAAGTTTGTTAGATTATTGTGTCAGAAGTTCAAGCCCCACCTGACTCAGGTAACTTGACTCTGTTCAGTCACTCCTGACTACACTCCTGACAACTTTAGTTGTTTACAAATACTTGCAGATTAGTCAGGAAAAAGTTCTGAGGAAGAAACATGCCATGGAGTTTGGACTTGGACTTAGAAGATCTGGTTTTGAATTCTGATTTTGCTGCTTTTTAGCAATCTGACCTTGGACAAGTTTGTTAAGGAAACAGTCTTATATACTGTTATGATTGGTGGCTCAGTCACAATGAAAACTGGTCAGGTCCTATAGGTTACAAAAAACCAAGCATTCATTTGTAAAATTTTAGAAGCTTTTGCAAGTATATAACAGTAACTATCATCCCTAGTAATTTAGTCATGGTAGAGTACAGGTGGAAAGGATTTCAGTCCATTGATTTCGTAGATCTTAAAAACTAGAACCCACATTATTGAGATGATATGCCTGGGGGTCATGGAGCTGGTTGCAGTTGAGTGTGGGCTCCTGCCTTTCAGCCCAGTGCTTTTTAGGGCATTTCCTTTGGGTTCTTTCACTGCCTTGAAAGGTTTGAATTTTGGGAATTGTTTTACTTGATCAATTCCTTCTTCATTTCACTTTTATAAAGTTTTTACTTACTAATATTAACTTGTTGATGATAATCTTCATTTTACTTTATAGGTAAGGAAAATGAAGTTTGTTAGATTATACCTCTAGAAAATTGTAAAACTAGGATTTGAACCCAGTTCTTGTATGTTCTATAGCCCTGGTTACTAACCTTGATATCTCCAGATGACAATTCCTTTTGATGTGGCTGAGAATAAATAAGGTAGAGGCTGAGTGAAAAGAAGTTTTTGAATAAGACACCTTGGGATATCTGGGTGTGTAGTCACTCTTTCTTGACCCATTGTTTAATATCTCTGAAAGAGCCTAATGTTCTATCTCCCTTTGAGCTTTCAGTTTTCAATATGTGTACCAATTGCTATAGGCCTTTATCTAATCATCGTAAGCTTTTATGATTTAACAGTTTATAAATGCTTTTGAAATTTTTTGATGGAACATAATTTCAGAATGGATTTCCTACCTTGTAATTTTATTGCTTAGGAAGTTAGTTTGAATAGTGATTTTTCACTTTCTTTGAAATAAAATAATGTTACAGGTTTAGTATAAATTTAGTATTAAAATTATTTGAGCTGGAGAAGATCTTTTGTTCATTTGAGCACTGGATGTGTGGATTTGGGAGGGAGATGGTAGTTTTACTTCTTAATTTTCCAAAGATATAAACTGTTATATTGAAAACTTAGAAGAAAAAAGTGCTTAAAAATTCTTAATACTTTTGTCTAATAGGAAGTAGAACCTTCATACACTTGAAATAATTTTAAAAATTAAATAGTATTAGATGCTCTTTATATTTAATAATGCACCTTGAAAATTGGTTCTGTAGTAGTTCCAAATACTTCAGCCTTACTATATTATACTAAAGTCCATATTTTTTTTTTTTAAATATTTTATTTACAGTTTAGTTTTCGGCAGACACAACATCTTTGTATGTGGTGCTGAGGATCGAACCCGGGCCGCACCCATGCCAGAAGAGCGTGCTACCGCTTGAGCCACATCCCCAGCCCTTAAAGTCCATATTTTTAAAAAAATTTTTTTAGTTGTAGATGGACACAATACTTCTTTATTTTTTTTATTTATTTTTATGTGGTGCTGAGGATCAAATCCAGTGCCTCACACATGCTAGGCAAGTGTTCTACCACTGAGCTACAACCCCAGCCCCTAAATCCACCTTTTTCCCCCTAATTCCATCTTTTTTCTAAGTTTTAGAAAAAAGAGACATAGGAAATAATCTTGGATAGCATTGCATTAAATGGTTATACTAGTATTTATTTTGGCTCCTGTTAATAAACCTATATACTTTTTTTGTTCTGAGACAGGAGTCACTATGTTGCCCAGGTTGGTTTTGAATTCCTGGGGCTCAAGTGATTCTCCTGCCTTAGCCTCTTGAGGGTAGGTGAAACTATGGATGTGCCACTTGCACAGCTGAACATGTATATTCTTACTAAGACTTTTTGTCTTAGTAAGAATCATTGGGTATACTTTTGGAATCATTGGGTATACTTTTTCATAGTTAACATTATCCCAAATAGTTTATATAGCATTAAATATTCCACTGTGGGCTGTTTCCATTTTTCAGTTAATTCACAGCTAAGATGAATAGTCTTTTGGATAAGTCATTGCTTACATCAGTGATAATTTTTTAGGATAAATTCTTAGAATTACTAGAATGAGGGACTGGGGATGTGGCTCAAGCAGTAGCGCGCTCACCTGGCATGTGTGCGGCCTGGGTTTGATCCTCAGCACCACATACAAACAAAGATGTTGTGTCTGCTGAGAACTAAAAAATAAATATTAAAAAAATTCTCTCTCTCTCTCACTCTCTTTAAAAAAAAAAAAGAAAAAGAATTACTAGAATGAACATTTTAAAGGTTTTTAATTCATATTGTCAAAAGTTTTCTCCAGCCGGTGTGGTGGCTGATGCCTGTAATCCCAGAAGCTCAGGAGGCTGAGGCAGGAGGATGGTGAATTCAAAGCCAGCCCCAGCAATTTAGCAGGATCCTAAGCAATTTAGAGAGATCTTGTCTCAAAAAGAGCTGGGGATGTTGCTCAGTGGTTAAGCACCCCTGGGCCCTTTGTGGGGGGGGGGGGAGGGCAAGTTTTTTCCAGAAAGGTTTAATCAGTTTAACTCCTGTTCATTTAACTCCTGTTCATATTTAACATATCCTAATCACTATTTTTCACCCTTGGAATACAAAATGGAGGATGGAGGAGAATTCCTGCTGCCTCTGAGTTTAGTGGGAGGGGAGACAGAATAACAATAGACATAGTGCTGAGTAAATTACATAGTGATGTGGTGGGAAAGAGGATTGAGAAATGGGGGATTAGGTTGCAAAATCGCAGGGGGTTTTGTTTGTTTTGTGGTACCGTTGAGCTACAATTCAAGCCATTCTTATTTTGAAACTGGGTCTCACTAAGTTGTTTAGGCTGGCCTTGAATATGCTATCATTCTGCCTCAGCCTCCTGAGTAATTGGGATTACAGGCCTTTGTCCCAAGTAAATAGTAAAATGAAGGCCATAGAGAGATTTGAAGGACTGCTTTAGGCA